TTGTTTAATCAATTAAAAATTGTTTGCTTTGCTCTTTGCCAGATATAGGTTAACCTACAACTGTTTCTCCTGAACACTGAGTAGAGGTGGCAAGCTTGGTTCAGGTTAAAAAAAATTGAGTCACGAAGACTCATTTGAGGTGAAAATAAAGAAATGAATACGGATATAATAAGGGTATAAAGTAAATATAAAGCTTCACCTCAAAACATTAAATCATTACATTAAAATAAAAAAAAATCTAACTAAAAACTACAGATGAAGTGGCCAAAGGGGGGATCATTTTAAAATGAAAAAAAGGAAAGAGTAACAGCTGACTTCATATAATAAATACGATACACCATAGTATCGTAGTCATGCTTATCAAAAGCATCCTAGTGAAAGTTTGTCAAAGGGGAGTAATATTTTTTTTTTTTTTTTTTTTTTTGATTTTCTTTATTTTTTTTTGAATTTTTTTTGAAATTTTTTTTTAAATTTTAAATTTTTTTGAAAAAATAGAAATGTGCTAAGACGATAAAGAAGAAGATGTGACCAGTTAAAAGCGAAGTAGGAAGGGGTAAAAACCATAATCAATGGCAACATAGATGCCAGGAGGATCCAAATCCATTGGTTCTGGCCATCGACTAGGTTGGGGAATATAAGGGATCTCAACAAAAATGCCTGGTGGATCAAGATCTATCGGCTCTGGCCACTTAGAAGTATTACAAACACGACGAGCAATAGGGTGAGGTTGAGCTACAGCTGTTGTGGTAACGGGAGTGGGAGGGGAGGAACTACAACTAAAGAAGGTGGAGGAACTGAAACAAGGGGAGGAGGTGGAACTAAAACAATGGAAGGGGAGGTACAGAAATTACAGCTGTAGACAGAACAGAAAAAGCAACAGCTATAGAAGAATAGGGAATAAAAAAGATATAGCTGTCGAAGTAGAAGCAGGGATGGAAGTAAGGGAGGTTACAAGTAAAGAGGGAAGTCTTGGCACAGTTCTACGCATTTGACGTATCATTCGTCATTGAAACATTTTTTATAAAATTCCTAAAAAATAATTTATAACCATTTTTTAATATTCTTTAAACCTTCTTTCAAATGTTCTCTTTTTCAAAAATATACTTATACATATCAAATTGCAAAATGTTTTGGAATGAAGGTGACAAACATGGTTTGGAGATCCATTTTATAACTTTTCCAAGATAGGTGGCCAGTGATGGCTATTGGACCAATTGGACTTATAAAAACTCCGTCATTTGGACTATTGGACTTAATAATTTTATAAGTCCAATAGAATTCAATTTTATTGGACTTATAAGTATAGCCAACACTGTAGGTAGCTGAGAAAACAAAGATTGGCCAATAAACAATATGACGATCAAAATAAACGAGACAGCTAATAAACGAAAGAGTATTTGTTTAATAGATATTAATCTACTTATATGGATATAATCTGCACAGTCACCCGATCACAAAAAACCATAGTAAAAATATGATGACGTCGACTGCAGCTGAAAGCGAAATTCAAATTCTTTATAGTAGAAAATACTGTAATGTATTATTTATTGTCATATTTATTGTTTGAGAACCATTCAAATAACTTCTATACTTTTGGTATGTATTTATTGATTTTATATATAAATGTTTTTGATTCTATGGATGTGGATTTTTTTTAATGGAGACATATTTTTTCATGTTTATTTAAAGAGATTTGTAAGTGTTTTAAGGTTTTAAGTGTTGATTTAATTTTTTTAAAAATTTTAAAACATTTACAATAAAGTATCTTTTATGTAAAGGATTTTTTTAAAAATATAATAATTTTCTTTTAAGATATTTTAGTTATTTTTTATTTTAATAAATTTTTTTGTTGATATTATATAAAAAATATTTTTTAAAAAAAAAAATAATGATCGATTTCAAAAGAAATAATTGGGACTTTACCTTTTTAAAGCTCATTATCCACATAATTATATGAACATGATTTTATCTGTTTTTTCTTATCCATTTGTTGGCAGTAATATCACTTCCTTCAAAGCAAATGGAAATTCATTAAGCATATATGCGAATTATCTGAACAATTATTTTTCTATCATCAAAATATTGTAAACTATATGCGCGAGGTGATCGTGAATTTCCGTTTATTTTTCTTCAAATATAATAAATATAATAGAATTTATTTGCAATAAAATTGTTAAAAGATTATTTTAAGAATATATTTTATTTTTATCTTTATTTTTTTTTAAAAAAATAAGACAGACATATTATCTACATAAGTTTTAAAAGCCTCAATCTGTAGATTTAAAATACTTATTTAAATGGTGTAAAAATGTCTTTAAAGTACATTCATTAATGGTAACTCATTATTCATGTAAAATGATAAAGGCTGAAATACTTGATTTTCTTTATGAATGAAGGAATCTTGTTCAAAGTTTTTAGAACATCGCGAAATTTAAATTTATTGAATAAGACTTTAATTATTTTTATGCAATAACATTGTTTATGCTGTGTATTTGCCTCCGTTCTTTTCTATTATGTTTCGAATTTGCTCCCAATTATCAAAAAAATAATTAGATTACTTCTTTTTTAAACTATGTCAAACATTGACCTATTTTGACAATGAATATTTATTTTATAGTACAACTTTCGAATTCTTGTTATTGAAGCAAATCTGGAAAGTATAAAAGCTTTAAAACAGCACTAAATATAGATAACTATAATACAATTTGGATGAGATGAAATAACCCCTTATTGGATTAGCACTGTAGTAGCCCAAATGTCACCATGTCCCAAGTTAAACTTGTGATATCCCAAATCAGAATTCCTATTTCGGACTTTCCAAACTGGAATTTTGATTTTGGATGATCATGTCCCAAATTTTACTTGTGATATCCCAAATTGAATCTAGGGTATAGTTAAGTTTGGGACATTTAATACCCCAAACCTGACCATATTCCAAATCAATTTAGAACATAGTAGAGTTTGGGATATTCAAGACCAAACCATAACATTTTTCAAATTTACCTAGATCAATTTGAGATATCGTCAAGTTTATGACATTTGATTCTCCAAACTTAACCATATTCCAAATATACCTAAGTCAATTTGGAATATGCTCAAGTTTGAGACATTTGATTCTCCAAATCTAACTATGTTCCAAATCTACCTAGGTCAATTTAAAATATAGTCAGGTTTGGATATCCTAAACCCGATTGTGTCTTAAATCAATCTAGGTTAATTTGGAGTTTGGAACATCTGATATTTGAAACCTGACTGTGTTTCAAATTGACCTAGGTAAATTTGGGATATGGTCAAGTTTAGGACATTTGATTCTTCAAACCTGATTATGTTCCAAATCTACCTAAATCAATTTGAGATATGATCAAGTTTGGGACATTCGATTCTTCAAATCTAACCATATTCCAAATCTACCTAGGTCAATTTGGGATACGGTTGTGTTTGATATAATATGTTTCAAACTTGATCATAAATCAAACTAACTATGTTAGTTTAGAACACAATCAAGTTTGGGGTATCGGATATCCAAACTTAACTATATTTCAAATCCAATTTGGAATATTTCAAGTTAAATTTGAAACATGATCAAGTTTGGGACACAATCATCCCAAATTACACTAGTCGAACGATGACAAATAAAAGACCAATCGGATCAAATCTAGGTTACCAGATTTAACCTGATTGGTCTCCTATTTTTTTGTTTTTTAGAATCAGGTGATCCCGATTGATGGTGATTAATGACTCAGATAGGATACAATAAGATTTCAATCAGGGTATTATAAAGATATCAATAGGGTTATTCTTATTGATATCAATTTATTAACATTCAGTTTCCAATCAAGTTATCCCTAAATCATTAATATAAATATTCTTATTGGTTTTTTTATTATTATACAAATAGCATATCCTGATTGATAATATTTTATCAAATTTATTTAATACTCATAATAATATTTTATACCAATAAGTAATATCAATTAATTATAATAAAAAGAATTTTTATTAATATGAAATATCCCAATTGATACAATTTATATAAATTTAAATATAGTTGAAATTTTACTGATTTATTCAGTATTTATTATGAAATCTACTGATTTCTATCTATCATTATAACCTGTACTACTACTAATACTACTATTATACTCAGAAGATATCACACTTATCACACTTTTACTCCTTCTAATTCTCTACTTCTTGTTACTTCCACCTTTATTATTATCATTATTTTTATTAGATTCCTCTTCACAATTGGATTCATCTTCACTATTATATTCCCCTCTATGATCAGAATCCTCCTGAAATGGTTCCTCCTAAGATGTTTCCTTCTGAATGGATTCCCAATATTTAAAATACTTGGAACTATTAGATTCCTGATTATCGCTTTCAGAACGATGTGAAATATGTTTTTTAACTAACGACCTTAATGATCTAATGTATCCAGATCTTATTCATTTGGGAGCATTTACTAGTGCTTCATTTTCACCAGCCGCAAATTGGATATTATCATATACCCTTTTTCTAGTTCTACATGCTTTTGATGATTTAGAGTCTTCATTATCCACATAGTCTCACAAAAACAATCGCAACTATTAGAAATAAAAAGGATAAATTAATACAACCCGATTGATAAAAATAAAAATAAAATTACTTACCATAGATGATCACCATTACAGTTTCTGAATGATGATTTTCCTTTTATTAAGATTTTTATCATCAGTTTTTGAAACCTTTGAGCTATGATATCAATTAACAGTTTGAATTGGTTCGAGTTCATCATTATAAATTTTTCCAACTGGACGGTCCTTTAATCTAATACATCTATCAATAGTTCTTGCTCGTTGTTCTCATTTCTAATATTTTTTTTTAAAAATAAATTTTAAAAAAAGTTATTTTAACAACTAATCTGACTGTTTACTTACTTCATAATGACGTGTGATAGTGTGCTTCCTCCTCCTTTGGAAGTCATTCCATTTATCTCCTTTCTTTTTCTTAAGTACTTCTTCTCTTTGGTGTTGATGACGTTCGTGAATGATGCGCTTTATTATGGAATCTAACATCAGAAATGCTTTTTTATTGATTGATTTTTATACAATCAATATCATATGGTTATTAATAAACTTTCGTTAGCTTTCCAAGATTCTGTTAACATCTAACCTTTAGTTTTCAAAAAATCTAATAATACTAATTATTTCGGACTAATAATAAAAATGTAAATCAGTTAGTAAATAATTTAGACAAAATTATTTAAATAAAAAATAAAATGTGAGTACTCTTAATGCATTTCGTAATTCCCTATCCATACTTTTATAATAAATATATAAGGTTTGTGAAGAATCAAATGAAAAAGAAGAAGATGAGGATCAATCTGGACTGTTTTGGTCAGAACGATTACTAATGGATTTAGTACGTTGTCTTTGTGGTCATTTCTTATGCGTTATTGCCTAAAAATATAAAGAAATGTAAGAAAATAATAATCATCTATTAATTGATTGTTTGCTTATTTGCCTTCTTATTTTTAGGTATTCTTTTTTGACTTTTTCCTTTATCAGAGATATCTGAACTGTCAGACTGTCAGATGATGATAATGTAGCTGCTGCAGCTTTTGAGAAACCAGCCTCTCTGTATATGAACTTTCTGATATATTGGCTCTTTTTAGTTTATTTCTTCTTTAGTTTCCTTTCCTTTACCCTTTATGACCGTTTTTACCAATTTGGCAATTTCATTTATTTGGTCCTGTAAAGCGGTTACTGTAGTATTAAAAAATAAATAATCAGTTAATTTCCTAACTAAGAATATTTGATTAACAATACATATAAACAAATAATGTATATGCCGATTATTGACTTTTATCATCATCATCTTTTTCTTAAACGATATCAATCAAAACCAGTTTTTTTAATTGTCTTTTTTCTTTAGATTGGTTTCTTTTCTCTCTTTTACTGCTTTTTCGGTCTTTTTGTTTTTTATTTCTTCATTTTTCATCATTAG